TTGATAAAAGTAACTTCTTCTTTAATGTTGCTGATATTGATTGGAAGTGTTTTTTTATTACTTACATCAGGGGATTGCGAGTATTTTTAGGTAAAGACCCAATGGATACGGTTGAAGAATCGAGACCTTTTTATAGAAGGTAAATGTTTWATTATCTTTTTTTTWTAACAAATATTATCTTTATCCTATGTATAATTAATTACTCTTTTATTGTTTATCGTTTCCAGGTTGACAATAGCTCATTATACGTTGAAGTGGTTTAGTTATTTTTTTATTCTTTGGATTTTRTATTCTTTAWTATATTTTATTTTTACTTACATGTTTTATTTTTGACAATCTGTGAAAAACGACAACAAAATAATCTGTCATAATTATTAGCAGATAGAATAAAATAATCGTTTTTTTAGAATATAAGTAATTTTCCCTATAGGTTTGATATATTTTTGCTATTAGATTCATTGACTTCATTTCTTGAAGAGAAGATGTCTATACGTTAAAAATATTAGCAATTATATAGAAGTACGGATCTGTTTTTATAGTTCAAATAATATCTGATGATTATAAGTGGAATGATAAAATGTTTAATGTTTACTTAGAATGATTAAGAACGTAGAAAAAATGGAAATAAAAAGATAAAAATTTATCCATCGGTCTTCTTTCATGAAGAATACAATAACTACAAATAGTTCCTGATAAGAAGAAATTCCTAACTCCTAACATTTATATAACCAATTACTTCTTAGGCACTACGCGCCATTATACTGACTTTCGCAGATGYCATCTTCCAGTATAACGCGCCATTATAGTGGCTTTCGCGGATGACATCTATTAAAATATATCATATTATGTAATACATGTAATATTAATTATTAAAATAAATTTTTAACGTTAGAGTATATGTGATATATTTTAAAGAAAAATTATTATTCTATCATTAAATACTTTATTTTAATATACTTTCGTAGAGAACGGCATTGTYTGTTGAACCCTTCCGTACAGAGAAACAGCTTCGTGCAAAATTTTGCAGTGCTTAAAAAATTAAAATAATGCGAATAATATGTAATTACGAATGCTGCATCGATAATATGTTTATATATTTAATAGAAAATCTTTACATGTATAATTCATTAAAAATAGTATAAATGGACCGTTTATTTTGAATTTATATGAATATTACTTTTTATATAAATTTGTTAACTATTGGTCATTAAGTATGAAATGTCTRATTKATGACTGAAAGTTTAGTTTATTATATCTCTGGCAATAAATAATATAATTAATCAAAATATGCACCTAAACYATCAATACAACGTTGCCTTTTTAACGATAGCGRTTAATACYTGTAGCGAAAAAATCTGGAGAGCAGCTGGTGATAAAATCGCGAAAGGCATTTTCCATTGCATGTTGGGAACTAAATGTGTTTCCWTGTAAAAAATTGTCTAAAGTTYGAAAAAAATGGTAGCATGTCTGCGCGAGATCTGGTGAGTACAGTAGGTGACAAAGTGTTTCTAGGTCCGGTGCCTGTAGTTTAAATAACGTCGATCTTGCAACGTGTGGTCGAGTGTTCTCCTGCAGAAGGATTGGTCTGTCCCTGTGGACCAATCTAAGCTGAATAATTTGCAGCTGCCTCATCATTTCTTCTAACTGTTTACAGTACAGGTCCGCCGTTATCGAATGCCCAGCTCTCATAAAACTATAGTCTATAACACCCGCGCTAGAGCACTATAGAGATGAGTATTCTCATCCGCCATCTTTGCTTCTCGAGTGAGCGGACAGTTTAAAAAAACATATGTAGTGAGTGTTAGTCTGTGAGTTTAATCGTTATTATTTGCAATTTTTTTAATTRTTTGTGAATGAATGAATAAGAAATTTTATTGAAATCGTGTAATAGTCGTAGACAACTATTGATATCTGTTTGAAAACATATTGAAAAATACATTTGATTTACTAAAAGTATTATTTGAGAAAATCAACATTAATTTTCCAAATTGTTGCTGTGCTAAGTATCAAATAATTGAACATTTTTCAATGTTCGTTAGTACTGCGCGAAAAATTATTATGAGAACTGTAAACGTCATATCAAATTTTATGGATCTGCGACTATGAAATAAAGAGTTTTAAACATTTAATTTACGCATTTCCTGCAAATATATTGTGCATTATTAATAATAATGTAATATTATTATTTATAATTTTATAATATTTTCATAACGGAACAAATGATTAAATTAATATAGATATATTCATATAAATAATACAAATTTATTTTATTTCAAATGTACAATTCTGACTACTCACTTATGCTATGTGCAGTTCATTACTTATTTTTTTTTAAACATATACAACTTTTTCCATGTTTAATTAGTTTCATGATTATGAAACATTGTATTTGCTTCAATATTCTKWAGCTGCTGAATACGATTTATATTCTCTTAAAATTGCATTCATTCTCTCTATTTGAGCCCTCATAGATTTTCATATAGATAGATCTTCAGCAACAAAAGACATAATGGTCTCTTCGTCAGCAGGTTTTATTCCACTTTCATACTTATAAAAAAGATACAATTATTTTTTTTTAATTTACAAWTAATTTACATATTTATAAAACATAAACATAAAAAAATTAATGTTTCAAAATAAGAATAAAATACCATTTTGCTTTTAGCAAAAGACCTTCATATAGATYAATGAAAAATTCAGAGCCTCACATGCAGGTGAGAAATATTGTATGTCGAAACTAGCATGTACAATGTATAAACAATATAGCATTTTTGGGGGACAGAAACTCGTGTAGTCACGTAATCGCACGCGAATGATTCATACATTTTAGTCCGTAAACAAACGATAGGTTATAGGTTAGGTTTTTTATATTTATACTTGTAATTATTAAATGAGTAAATTAAACTTAAACTTATAGAAAACTACTAAAAAAAAAAAGAAAAAACAATTAATTATAAATATCACAATAAAAACTAAAAGTATTCCAATCTTAAACTAACCACAGCCGTTAATACATACTTAAGATAAACATRGCTGCGCGTTGGATCGGAAGCTKTCCCCCCAAATTTTCAGTCCAGCAATATGCATGGCGCGTCTTTTCTAAAGGKTCTTTAGAGGAACCTGCCCMCCGCGATTCACGCGACGCTGCGTGTTGCTAAGTTCCATTTTGACAAAGTTATAGAGGTAAGCGCCATTACCTAGAGAGCGCTATTACCCCTGCTTCCCCTACTCTACTAGGTGGTAAAAAAATTTTTTTATATTTTAATAATATATACTACTGTCCTCCCCCCCTTATCAACAAGAGGACAAATTGTTTAATTAGCACAGTTYAGAAAATTAATCATTTCGATGAAAATAAATTTTAATTATTTATAGATGATATGTGCCCACAATTAAGAAAGTGGTCTAAGTCAGAATTAATAAAAAATGAGTTTATCAGTTATTACGCACTACATTATTATAATCTATATAAATTCAATGTTTTTTCACGATATTAACAAAAATTAATCGTTAGATAATGTTTGTTATTCCAATATTGTATAGAATTTATATAGTGTTCAAGTATAAATCTTTAAATATCTCGAAACAAGAGATATATGACTTAGATCACTTTTATCATTATG